AGGAACTGGCTCTGTAAGGACATGGAATTGGCCTTTATAACTAAGAACTCGTAGTATACAGAATATGTCTAAAGTCATCATAGGATGAGCTACATCTGGAACTGCAGAATATGTCTGAAGTCATCGTAGGCTGAGCTAATTTAGAACTGCAGAATATGTCTAAGTCATCGTAGGCTGACCTACAGTTAAGAGAACGACAGGGACCAGTTCGGCCGTTGAAATCCGGAAACACACAAGATAAGTGTCGGCCAGGACCACACACACAATTTTTGAGTCAAAGTTATACTAGTCAATTTTAATTTTAAACGTATTATCAGTCAAATAACGTAAACCGTAAAATTTGTTAAAATCAATAAATTTCATTTTCTTTTTTATTGTTAATATCACTCATTCATGAATTAATTTTAACTTAAAGCCGATTAATTGTTTAAATGAATTAATTTTAAATTAAAGCCGATTAATTGTTTTAAAATTTAAGTTCTTTTATTTTCCTTACTTTCAACTGACAAGTTAATGGCAAATTTACTTTTATTGTACATCTAAAGGTATGGCGCCCAAATTAATTTAATTGAATTCTTTTAAGTCTTTTTAATTAAAGACCTTGTCATTGACTTGAAGGTAAATTCTAAACGAATCCCACTGACCCATTTTGATCTGAGCTAGGCCTGAGGCTTGTAAGAATTCTTATTATAAGGATTTTTACAATGAGACCCAGGTAAGGGTTAAAAAAGTTAACGTATCATCTGGTGCAAAATATGTAACGTAACTTTGAAACGTAACATTGTCACTGGAAAAACCATATCAGATCATATATATTATTCCTTCACACAATCAGTGGTTGTGACACCACTTCTGCTTTATTTAATTTCTCAGTCCTGCAAAAGAAGAAATAGTCATTGATGCTTTCGAATATCCTTATATACACAAGGACGAGATTGCAGAAGTAGAAAATGTGTTTTTCAAGGCTTTGTATGGGAAACATGATACTAGCCTGAACGATTTGAGATACAGGCACAATACGTATGTTTATCGTACAAAAGTAAAACCAACATTGTCTGGCTACACACGACAACATTCACTGAAACTGTACTTTCAGATAGAGTTATCCGGTCAAACCAAATTCGACGAGTAATAAGTGGTTCCTTTTCGTAACTGTTCCAGAACTCTTTCAGAACCTTTGGAGCATGCGCCGTAGATATTCGCTGTTTTGGTTTTGCCAAAACTAGTTCCAAATCTGTAAGTTCTGGTGTTTTGGTTTTTCTTGTGAATGGTTCCATAACCATTTTCGAACAGTAACTTCGGTCCTAGCCCAAAGCGAAAACTGTTTCAGAATTGATATGACTGAGCTTGTGCTTTTTTGCAAGTAGTTTAGTTTTTGGGATCGTGGCCATATTTTGTGTTGGAATTTTTACAAGGAATTTTCGAATGACTAATAAGAATGGAGCAGTTGATTAGTTGATGTTGGGTCATAAGTTTTTTTATGAAGAAATTATTTAACTTATCTACGTTTTAAAATATTATATGGCCTCTTTCTTACTTAGACAGTGACCCTGTGTTATTTCTTCTTTTTTATTTATAATTTACTTTTTGACATTTAACTGTTTTGGTTTCGAGTATATGGAATGGTTACTTACAGAACTGTTCAGAATTAAGAACCATTGCGCAATAGTTCTGCGTATGGTTTTGGAACAATTCTAGAACGTGAACTAAAACAAATCAATGAAGAGTCTCGAAAGAGTGGGAGGTGGGGAAAAAACAAGGAGTGGTCTCGTGCAGTGCCAACCACTTTGAATCCTGCATCCTGGATGCTTCTCAATCTGCACATTGTGCGAAGGACAAAAGTTTTGACATATACCAAAACGAAACCAAAAAATGGGATCAAGAACAGACTGAAAAAAGAAAGTGTGCCTAATTTACTATCTATTTCGTAATCATTCATCTCTACTTGATATATGATCACAATTATTTTTCTCACTATCTCTTTTATTTTGCAGATGAACAAGACCTGACGCTAACGATAGAACTACCTGAACCTGCGCCAGGACCCGCAGCATTCGAAAAACCTCAGCCATGAACCTCTTATCAAAAAAGACTTATGTAATTGTTGCTCACATAATAATGTAATATATAATCAAGGGTTATATTATTGAGTGCGTCTAGTTTAATCGATTGAACTGTATACGAAAACATAATTTTAAAAATTTTCTTTGGTAAATGACATGAGTGTATTAAAATTTTATAAAATTCCGAGACCTAGATTGGGAGAAAATAATGTTCGATCTTACAGCCAGCCGAAAAAAGTCTAAACTTCAGTCTAGAGAACGTTTTAAGTTTTCTATGAGACACCTAATAAGACGTTTTTAATGAAAAAAGTTTTATTAATATTGGGAGTATTTGGTAGATATCGACGGCAAAAACTTGTGAATATGCTAGTTACTCCATTTTCGTGGTAAACGTATAAGAAACAAAAATGTTAAAAAGGCACGTTCTTACCATTGTTGGCGAAGATGAAATAAACAATTTAAAGTTGATAAGAGACTGCATGTCTTTACCCACGTGGTTATACAGAAAAAAAATACTATTTTAGAACCACTGAGAAGGTCGCTATACTGTACGGCCAGTTAGAAAAACATATTTATTTGGAAAATCCCGTTCATCATTGGAAAATATCTGGGTTTGAGCGATACTGACAAGTGTACTACACAGGTCATTGTCTACGTCCAACATCGGCAACTCTTCTGGCAGAGGCTGGAGCCACTATGACCAAGTTGAGCAATCGTTGAGGATATATCTTTATTAGATGAGATTCCAGGGATACTGGTAGACATATCTTCTGTATATGACTGTTCCTTACAGTCATTTAATTCCTTGACAATGAAATATGAATCAACGTTTATTGCAAGCAATTATATTTTATTCTATTCTATTGGATCGTTCTAGAATTGCAAGTATTATGTGAATTCGACTAAATGTTAAGTAGATATTTACATATTACTATAATTTCATATTTTCTAATGTTAATAATACATTTAATTAAGAACTGTTTTTTGTCTTTATGATCACGTGGGACATATAGTAACATTTTATGCATATACGGTCGTAACATACACTATTATGTAGTTAATAACAAGGTACCTAAGCAATAAGAGCAAAATAATGAACTAGAATGACATAAAATAAATTAGCGGCCATTAGAATCTATAACGGTGGTACATAATGCTCGTAAGCATTATGAGTGTGTTTATGAGGACCAAATCCAAAACATAACTAGAATGAAGATATATAATGTTTGGCTATATTATACTCTGTTAATCCCATTTTTAATCAGAATTCATAGCCTTTATCCCCTTGATTTTTAAAAAACCGAAAACCATTTTTTTGATTATCATATATTTTGAATGGTTCCAAGATTTTGCCAAAAATCTTGCAAATAACAATATAATAAACTTTCTTAAAAATTGCAAAAAACATCCCAAAATCCTCAAAATAAAAAAAATTATTGAATAGTACAGACCATTACACTTTCTATAGAAAGTGAGAAAAACCTAATTATGATAGAAGTAATTGGTTAATATTATTTGAATAACATTATGAAAAATTTACAAAATTGAAAATTTAACGGAAAAAATATTATTTCCAAAACCGTTTCATAAAACAAGGTTTTCTGATGGAATTTGGGGTCACTTTAGACAGATTTTTTACAGATTTATTGTAACACTTCATTGGATTTATTTAAATAATACAAAGTATCAAAAGTTAAAAATATAAGGTATATCAAGACTTTCTTCCAACGTTTCCTTATTTTAATTGAGATAACCTTGATTTTTTTTTTAAACAAGAATAGTTTACTGAAAAATCGTATGAAAAAAATTTAAAAGCATATTTTAGATCTTTTACTTTGGTAGAAAGGGATGCTACACAATAATCATGTAAATATAGTAAATTGTAGCCCATATTTCCGTATTTTTCTCTCTCCGGACCTGCTTTCGAATGAAGATATCTTCCATTGTGATAATGAGTATGATATAAGAATATAAACAAAACAAAATGTTTCGTGCAAATATTTCTTTATTTAAATCAGCGCTTTCGACTTTACATCAGTTACCAATCAGGGCGTACGTGTATTGTCTGGTTAGGTATCGTAAAAAGTTGTATTCAGGTGAAAATCAAGTATTCATAATGCAATAAATGTTTTAAAAACAATCTAGACGAGAAAGTAAATGAAGATAATAATATGAAAATTACTTTTCAATTTTGAACAAATTATGTTACGTCAATCTAGTTATTAGTACTCGAATGAGTTGAATTGAATAGGATAAATATTGTAACGTTTATTTATTCAAATCCAAAAAAAATTAGGCAAAATAATTTACCCCGTAGGAAATAATCAGAAACCACATGAGACGTCATCCTGATGAACAGAACAGATATATGTCATGTCACTTGCCACCTGTCCTTTAATTATTTTTATTAAAAAAAATATAACATTATATCGGTATTCTGTTTTGGAACACCCTGTATATATGAAACTGATTTTAATTTGTAGCCGCCATTGAGTTGTATATTTGTGCCAAAGGAATTTTTAATATCTCTGTGGTTAATCCACCAGGCTCCGTCCCGTTAAGCGCACCTTGTATATATATTTTTCTTGTGACATATTTATTGTTCCTTATTTATTTTATTTATTATGCTTTGATCTTTTTTCCAACATGTTAGGACTCTGGTCAAATAGCATTGGTGTCAGAATGGAACACGATTTCCTGCGACGATACGATTCCTCTCTTTATTTACCTAGTCTAAGATTATTTCAAATTATATCGAATATAATGCTAAACCAGTATTTTAGAAAAAGAGAAATACTATTTGTTTTAATGCAAGAAAGCCTTTAGACACCTTGGCACTATAAATGACATTTAAAAAGTATTAAATCTAGTATTAGAAATATTATAATACAATTAAAATAATTAAAAATTCTAAGAAATTTTATAAAAAATACTTACGCTCCTAATACTGTATACAACTCCAAAGTAAAATGATAATAACAAATCTTTGGTGGTTCATTTTCTCTACAAGCTCTAGCACACTCATCAGGAGCCGACAACGAAGGATTTTTCCTAAGTTCATTCGTCGACGATAATCTATAGTCTAAATGTTTGAAAGCACTAGCGGCACCTAAACTATTTTTGGAAATTGGACCAGCAATTCTCGTTCCTAGACCAGGATGGGTCTGTGACAGACCTTGCGAGGATGTGAAAAATTTTGAATCTGATGGTAGAGAACCTGTGACATCTGAAGACCAAAAGCTTGCCGCAGGTGTTTGATCTGCTGCCACACCTGAAATAAAAATAAAATCTTATACAAATGTAATAAACTTTGCCGCCGAGGGTTGATTTTTGAGACATACGGATTAAATAGCCATTAGGAACAGAACAATGAACAATAATTGCCAATTGTCATGCGTCATCGTACAGTACCAACTTAAAGTAATAATAATTAATTAATATTAAAACGTATAGTACAAGAAACTTTACAAGATTCCATAGAATGTATCAAAATCAATTATCAACAATTGTTTCTTAAAAACTAAAACAACTATTAACTACAATCGTTATTAAATTGATATAGATAATAACAATTTGTTTTGTTTAGTAGAAGAAACATATGTCGTTCGTTAAGTAATTATTCGTAGGTAATAATAAAAGTACTATATATGTATACAGATTTATGCAATACAATAAAGCTTTGAAAATGACTAGACATAAATTTCATTGACCATAACTATCTTAATAGATCTGAAGAAAATATTAATTTGTATTTCAATATAGATTATTTTATTATAGATATACATGTTTACACTGTGTGTGCTAAAACAACGGGATTTCAATTCTGTTTTGTTTATTTAAGTATAGTAGGGCTTTAGGTAAATATTATTCCGACTTTAATAATTTTGGCAAGATCAAAGAGTAAACAGAGCCGGATTAATTATTAACTTAGAAATATTAAGTGGCTAAATGAAATAAAAATATTTATGTAACAATACAAATTCAATCTAGAAAATAATCTTCATTAAATTAGATGAAAGATCAGGTTTAACTTTTATTTTTACATCAGATGTAATCTCCAACTGTGTAGAAGATATACTGTCGATTTGAACAATTTGTTTTCGCTGATAAAGATATGATTTTAACAGAGACCCAGAGGTATTATTAAATCTAAAAAAACTTCAACATGTCAAGTAAAATTGTATGATTTAATTTATCGGAAGCTTTCGAGAAATCTAATAGTATTAAGTTAGAAATCTTGTCATTATCCATGGCCCTAATTAAATCATACATGGATCATCTGCTATCTATGAGAACTGCAGAGACACAGATAGGGCAGGACATCATATCCTTCTGTAAAACTAGAGGATATCCACAAGAAGGAGTTCTATCCCCACTAATGTGGAGCATAACCGTAAACGAATCTTTATGCAGATTGGCCACTCCGAATCCTACATTTCTTTAGAAGATAGGATTGAAAGGGTCTTTATAGGTATCGAGACATTCCTTACTGCATAAGCGACAGAAGGGGACACATTTAACTTTAATAGAAAAAGTTATCTTCGCCTCTTCGAAAATAACTTTCAATATTCAGTCACTGGTGGTTTAGCTCATTGAAACTAACCAAAACGGTTATCTAGAGTTAGGCTAAACTTGTAATTTCTAGATTGTAGTACATGTCATTAGGTACTTACTGGTACTAAATGCCTGCGACCTAGCAAGATCTATTGCAAATACCCTGGATCTATGGGGATCCCAGATTCCAAATTTTTTCCTTGGCGCTACTGTGCATAACTCTGTAGGTGTTAAAATACCCTGTTTTAGACCAACGTTGTAATAATAAATATATAATAATTTATTTGCAGTATTACAAATACAGTAGCATTAAATACATACATTTTATTTAATTTAATACAACAAAAAGGAATAGCAGATATAAATTTTTATGCACGTAAATTTACATTTTATTATTACATAGAAAGATTATCTTGACTAGATATTTTCTGGCATCAAGAGACATTTGTAGTTTTTCTTAAATATAATTGTCGAGAGATGTTTTAGTTTAGGAGGAACCAGGTTATATAGTTTAAATATCATATAAGATAATGAACCTTGAAATTTAGAGGTAAAATGGTGAGGTGGAGATATATGCCCTCTAAATCTTGTATGCACATTATGCACATCACTTCGAAATGTAATTTTGTTATAGAGATAAGGAGGTGACTTTAATAGAATGATCTTGTGATACAAAGTTACCATGTGTAGTTTCCTTCTAGATTCCATATTTAACCAGTTAGTTTCAATTAGTTTGTAACTAATTCTTTCGTATTTTTTTATACCATATATGTAGCGAAGACAAGAATTTTGGACTCTTTGAATACGATTAATATCCACACAGTCAATACAAGGCCCGTAGTAGTATTTTTTGATTTAAAACATGGCGATGCGGGCAAAACATTTTCAAATTTGCGTAAGCTCTTTTTATACAATTATTTACATGGCTTCTAAATTTGAAGTCCCAGATTTTTGGCAACATCTACACAAGCCACCATCAACACTCACAGATAATTGCTCTGTTAGTTCTTTTTTATTTTTACCAAATACCAGTATTTGTGTTTTTGTGGAATTAATAGTTAGCTGATGTCTGTTAGAAAAATTTACGATTTTTATTAATTCTGTGTTAATCATTTCATTAGTGACAGTAACATTCAAATCAGACAAAGAAAACCTTATTTGCGTATCATCTGCAAAATCTCTGTCATTGGTAAAAGCAGAACTAATATTATTTGAGTAAATGCAAAACAAAATTGGTCCCAAAATAAAGCCCTGTGGCATGCCGCAAGCAATATTTTTAATATCAGATCTACCGGCACTTGTTTCTACAAACTGAGATCGATTAGATAGACAGTTTTTGATAAAGTCTTTTGATTTAACCGAAAAACCAACATAATGAAGAATACTGAACAGAAGCTGATGGTTAATTGTATCAAAGGCTTTTGTATAATCTAGAAGTATTAAAACGTTTGTATTCCCTTTGTCGATATCCCTAAAAATATCATCAGTAACCTCTAATAATGCTGAAGTACAGCTGTAGCCACGTCTGAAACCAGATTGGCTGATTGGCAACATATTGTAATTGTTGATGTGAGACTCTATCTGATATTTAATTACTTTTTCCAAAACTTTTGATAGCACTGATAATATTGAAATGGTCCGTAATTCACTAAAACTACTAATAATATTCTTTTTAGGCAATGGAAAAACTTTTATGACTTTCCAAAGGTCTGGAAAAATAGATTCCTTTATACAGGAATTAATAATATGCGTAATGAAAATTAAAATATACCATAGGACGTGTCCGCCTGATTCTTCTATACAAAGCAGCAGCTGCATATCACATTCTATAACTCGAGGCACTCAAGATACAACTTCCACTAGTTTCGCTAAGAGTCTATATTGCTGTTTACCTTCATAGAGTTATTAAAAAAAATGGAATAATATTAAGATATTTATTTTTATTAAATTTAAAAATAATATCAATTAAAACCATATAATTTTTGCTGTGTGTAATGTAGATTATATATAATTAATATAGAACAGATTAATTAAGATTGTATATACACATAAATATTTAATTTTTATTTTTATAGAGCACAAAAATATCTCTATTAGTTGTAATTAAATCAGCTGCGTGATTTAATATCGGGTTATGTTATTTCTTAAATAGGTACCGACTTCTACCGTTATGAACTACTTTACAATGCAAAGTCCAAACTGTAAATTTATATCACATTATTAACACTCATATTACTACATAGCTGTTTTCACTTTCATTTGCGTTGCCAGTGAGTACCTTGAAAGTAATTTGAAAAAGGATATCTTATGTTGTTCAAACGGTCTAGAAACGGCAGATTTTTAATGGTGAGAAGGTGAGTCAACAAAGACCTGCCTGCTTTGATAATGGAGAGGTAACGGAAAACGGAACCAACATTTAATAAAAAATAGACGAATATTTTAAAGTTTTTTAAATAGGACAGTACGACACTTGTTTGTTTTTATTTTAAAACATACACTGAAAAGAAGTATTTGATTTACTCGGACAGTTTATTATAATATAACACGTGATCCACAAAAAATATTCCTTAAGTAGGCCATGACCGACAAACATAGTAGGTACGAGTTATGCACGTGATAATTTTAGGCACCTGTGAGTAAAATACAAAAAAAAAGAGCACAAGAATTTTTTTTTATAAATATATGTATAAATTAATTCAAACCATATTTTTGTCAACTTTGATGCTCACTTGATTGATTCATCCCACTTGCCTAACTTCAGGGTTTCCATGTTTATCTGATATGTTCTGATCTTATTTACCAAATAGTAAACACTCACGTGCTGTCGTGTTTACCTAATCTTTTACTTTCAGGTATTCTTATTACATCATCGTGAACTTTATATTTTTTCATCATAAAATTTTTTGTAAACTAGAGTCCACATTGGTTATTAGCCATGTTTCTTTGAGCGATTCCAGCATTAGGATTCTTATCTTTCAATTCGGCACGTGTTGAGACGACTATCTTTGTTCCACAGAATGCGATTCGTATGTAATGTCTCTCTCTATTCAGTTCGTTACGTGTCGAGTACGCACATAAGAATTCCTGCACAGGTCTCTAAATATTGGCTTAAAAATAGTTTTTTACCTACAAATGAGCATGTATAATTTTGATATATTTTAAATTTTATCATTTATTTAACTATCATTTAAAATCTTGAAAAACCTCATTTAAATATTGCTAATTTCAATATTCGCACATATCACCATAACTTACAAAGGCATATTCTTATTTTTTACTGTTTCCAAAGCTCTATACATAAATACCCTTAGAATATGTAACGTGTGGAAAGGAGTTACCCCACGGCACTTAGGCAACACTAGGCCCATTGTGCATCCTCCTAAAGCTATAGGCACCTCCTAGCTTGTAAGCCAGTGTACAGATTTAATGTAGTTGACAACGTTGCCAAGATGTGCTTCTCTTATATCGGCCGGTTTTCGGCGAGTATTGGCGAGTATCTTCTAATAAATGAGAGCATCGGGCAATCGTAGAGGATATGCTTGATGGTCTTATCTTCTTGTTCGCACCCCCTGCAGAGTGCGGATTCTGACAACTTCATGATATGGAGATGCTTAGGTACTTGGCAATGACCAGTCAGAATGCCTGTGACCAAGCGCAGATTCTGTCTAATCATAGTCAAATATAACTTGCTGTCAAAGGTGAGACCTAGGCACTTCA